GGGGGAGGGGAGGCCGGCGATTCCGGGGACGCCTGGAAAAGGAAGTTCCGGGACCCTCCCTGCTCGCGTGCCCACCTCCGCTTCCTGCCTCGTGTCTCACCTTGTCCCCAGTGCCTAGACTCACCCAACCGCTGGGACATATGACTTTTACCCTGGGGTCCTGGCCTCGTAGGCCCCAGCCTTCCCTCAGCCCGCGTGGGGGGGCCCTGGGCCTCTGACCCCGACCCCTCCCCAGGCCTAGGCCTGGCTTTTGGAACTGCTCCCAGGCACTGGTGGCACCTGCCCCAGCCCCACCTGTGCCTGGGCTGTGGCCCTCCCTCCCTGCAGGGCGCTCACCATGGCCCCGCCGCTTCTGCTGCTGCTGCTGGCCAGTGGAGCGGTCGCCTGCCCGCTGCCCTGCGTCTGCCAAAACCTGTCCGAGTCGCTTAGCACCCTGTGCGCCCACCGAGGCCTGCTCTTTGTGCCGCCCAACGTGGACCGGCGCACAGTGGAGCTGCGGCTGGCGGACAACTTCATCCAGGCCCTGGGCCCGCCTGACTTCCGCAACATGACGGGACTAGTGGACCTGACGCTGTCCCGAAACGCCATCACCCGCATCGGCGCCCACTCCTTTGGGGACCTGGAGAGCTTGCGCTCGCTGCACCTGGACGGCAACCGGCTGGTGGAGCTGGGCGCCAGCAGCCTGCGCGGGCCTGCCAATCTGCAGCACCTCATCCTCAGTGGCAACCAGCTGGGCCGCATCGCGCCGGGGGCCTTTGACGACTTTCTCGAGAGCCTCGAGGACCTGGACCTGTCCTACAACAACCTGCGGCAGGTGCCCTGGGCCGGCATCGGAGCCATGCCCGTCCTGCACACGCTCAACCTGGACCACAACCTGATCGACGCACTGCCCCCGGGTGCCTTCGCCCAGCTCGGCCAGCTCTCCCGCCTCGACCTCACTTCCAACCGCCTGACCACGCTGGCACCCGACCCGCTCTTCTCCCGGGGCCGCGACGCCGAGGCCTCGCCCGTGCCACTCGTGCTGAGCTTCAGCGGGAACCCGCTGCACTGTAACTGCGAGCTGCTGTGGCTGCGGCGGCTGGCACGGCCCGACGACCTGGAGACGTGCGCCTCGCCGCCTGGCCTGGCCGGCCGCTACTTCTGGGCAGTGCCCGAGGGCGAGTTTTCCTGTGAACCACCCCTCATTGCCCGCCACACACGGCGCCTCTGGGTGCTGGAAGGCCAGCGGGCCACACTGAGGTGCCGGGCCCTGGGAGACCCCGCGCCCGCCATGCACTGGGTCGGCCCCGACGACCGGCTGGTCGGCAATTCCTCCCGGGCCCGGGCTTTTCCCAACGGGACCCTGGAACTTGGGGTGACGAGCGCCGGAGACGCAGGGGGCTACACCTGCATCGCCACCAACCCTGCTGGTGAGGCCACAGCCCACGTGGAGCTGCAGGTGCTGGCCCTGCCCCACAGCGGGAACGGTAGCACCGAGGGTGGCCGCCCGGGGCCTTCGGACATTGCCGCCTCGGCTCGCACTGCCGCCGAGGGTGAGGGGACTCAAGAGACAGAGGCGGCCGTGCAGGTGACTGAGGTGACTGCCACCTCAGGTCTGGTGAGCTGGGGGCCTGGGCGGCCGGCTGAGCCAGTGTGGATGTTCCAAATCCAGTACAACAGCAGCGAAGACGAGACCCTCATCTACCGGTGAGGACCCGCCCTGCAGACCCAGCCCCGCTCCTCTCCCCCCTCGGGCCCCTCACCTATCCCTCCGTCACTCCTGAGCGCTTGCAGGAGCAGGCCTAGTGCAGGGCAGGGGCTGCCCAGCTACCTGGGGCTGCAGGGGACTCGAGCGCGAGGGGGGAGAGGAGCAGATGGCCCACCCTGTGAGGTCTTCCTGCCCGAGGTGCCCGCCTCCCGACCTGGTCTGGGGGTGGTTTTGTCTGAGCTCACACATGTGGGCCTGCGCACGCGCCACCCCTGCCTCTGCAGGCACGCCTCCCATCTCGGCTCCTGGGGCATGTCAGTGCACTCGCCCATCTACCGCTTGTGCTGTCGCCACACACACGTTTCCATCTTGTGTCTTCACCTTCTCAAATGAACCCATAAAGGTGGGGGGGGCTGTGCAGAGCTGGGCCTGGGAGCCCGCGGTGGGGCTTGGACCCAGCGCTCTGACTGCTCACCCCTGCCCCCAGGATTGTCCCAGCCTCCAGCCACCAATTCCTGCTGAAGCACCTGGTCCCTGGAGCAGACTATGACCTCTGCCTGCTGGCCCTGTCACCCACTGCGGGGCCCTCTGACCTCCCCGCTACCAGGCTGCTGGGCTGTGCCCACTTTTCCACACTGGCAGCCACACCCCTGTGCCACGCGCTGCAGGCCCATGTGCTGGGTGGGACCCTGACTGTGGCTGTGGGGGGAGTACTGGTGGCCGCCTTACTGGTCTTCACTGTGGCCTTGCTGGTTCGGGGCCGGGGGGCCGGGAATGGCCGCCTGCCCCTCAAGCTCAGCCACGTCCAATCTCAGACCAACGGAGGCTCCAGCCCCACACCCAAGAGCCACCCACCACGGAGCCCCCCGCCCCGTCCCCAGCGCAGCTGCTCCCTGGACCTGGGTGACACGGGTGGGTGCTACGGTTACGCCAGGCGCCTGGGAGGGGCCTGGGCTCGACGGAGCCACTCTGTACACGGGGGGTTTCTCGGGGCAGGGTGCCGGGGGGCAGGGGGCAGTGCGGAGCGGCTAGAGGAGAGTGTGGTGTGAGGGGATGGGGGGGCGGCAAGGTGCACCTCCTGCTGTGCAGAACAGGGCCCCGAGTGAGGAGCAGGAAGGCGGCAGGCAGGCCCCGCCTGGGTAAGTGCACACTGCTTGGAGCTCCTCATTTTTATTCTCGGTACCTCAGGCTCCCCTTTACTCTTGGCCAGACAGGGACCCTTTCCTTGGTCCTGGCCTCCAGGCAGGGGTAGGGGAGCGGTCCCTCTGACAGGTGCTCACAGCCACCGCGGCAGGGGCTGCAGCCACCAAGCAGGGGTCTTGTTTTTATTTATAATAAAAACGTTGGGGATACCTCATTGCTGGTCTCTGGTCTTGTCCTGCTAGGTTTTCTGATGGGGGAGGGCAGAGGGGTGGGACATGCAGGCCGACAGATCAGGACAGGGGTCAGGGAGGGGCCTCTAGGCCCAGTGGAGGCACCTGAGCGGGCTGGGCCCCTCAGCCTCATGGCCCAAGGGACCCCGGGGAGCAGGGGGACATGCCCGGTGGGGTGGCTGCTGGCCTCAGGGCCCCTGCAGGAGCTGTGGAGCTGGGCGAGCTGCCTGGGCTCTCTTCCCTGTTCCCCATCTGGAAGCTGCAGAGAAGGCCGCCTCCCAGCAGGTGCGGGGTGTGGAGAGGCTGTGGGGCCCACACAGGTGAAGCCAGCAGCACGTGCCCGGCCATGGGAGACGTCACAGTCCCCAAAACGGCCCATCTGGATTTAGTGACGGGAGGAGACAGGAGATGGCACGGCCCTTTTGGACCTGGACTGGCAGCATCTTCTCCACAAAACTTAGTAATAATGTCACCTGGCTCCTGCTGGTGACAGGCTTGTCCACCCACCCCCCCCCCAGGGCAACTTCTGGGTTTATATAATGCCATCCCAAAGGGATTGGAAAAGGGCTGGGAATCTCACTGCCTTGGGACCCCACAGAAGGTTCCAGTCAGTACTGCAGGACCTGAGCGAGGGAGCCTCGCTCCCCCTGCCACTGAGGCCCCTGTGGCTTTGCTTTGGGCTTTCCTGGAAAGTTGGCCAGTGGGGACTCCCTCACGTGCAGGGGAGACAGCTGGACAGTGGGGGTGCACTGGACACTGGAGGCAGACACCACACGGGCATGTACACGTGCGCGCACACACGCACAACCACTCCCCTGCTGTAATCCGGCCCCCAAGAAGCGAGACAGCCCTTCTTCTGGGCCCAGGTCCCTGCCAGTCCCCGACCTTAGGCCTGGCCCCTCTGCCAACCCCCAACCCAGAGCTCGGCCCCTCTGCCAGGGCCCCAGGCCGGTCCCTGCCAGGCCCAACCTGGGGCACAGCCCCTCTGCCAGGATCCTAGGCTGGTCCCTGCCAGGCCCAGCCTGTGGCAAGTCCTCTCTTCTGCACCCCTAGCTGGTCCCTGCAGCCTGTGAACAGCGTCCGCTCCTGAGTGCCCGGCTGGAGGAACCAGTATTCCCTACACACATGCTCACACGTGAGGATCTCGACCCTGCTGCGTGTCAGGTGCGCAGGTGCCCGGCCCCGCTCCAGAGGGTAGGCTCTGCTGTCCAGCACCTGCAGAGAGGCCTGGCTGTGGCAGCTGTAACAGGCATGCTGCCTGGGTGCACAGTGGCTTCCCTGTGAAGGCCCACGGGGGTTCTGCTAGTGGCCGAGCTGAGCACGGGGGCCAGAGGCGCATGTGTACACATGTTCAGGCTGCGCTCACACACGTGACTCCACACGTGTCAACGCCTGCCCTCCCAGCCCCGGAGCACATAGCTGGAGGTGGACCGAGCCCTGGCTTAAGTGAATGGAGACAAGGTCGTCGGCAGAGGGGAGGAGAGCGAAGTCTCAGGTGGGGACAGTGGTGCTGTGTGAGGGAGCACAGGTGGGTGCGCAAGACAGGAAGGGTGGGGGGCTGCAGGGCAGAGGCAAGTACGGCAGGGCCGGGGGTGGGCAGGGAAGCTCTGGGCGGGGGTGGAGTGGGGGAGGGGAGGCAGGAGCCAGTGGACTGATATAGGGTCACATTTGGGGAAGACACAGGCGCCCCCAGAAACTGGAAACACTTGTCCTGCTGCCACCAACTCCTTCTCCTCGGGGTCCCCACGATGTGGGCCGAGGTGTCCCTTTCTCCCACCTTGCAATGGGGTCTGTGGGGGTGGCTACTTCTGGGCCCTGCAGGGGTGGGACAGGTGGAAGGCTCTGGCCTAGGGGATGTGCTGGGCACGTGGCTGAGAAGGAAGCCGAGTAACTGGGCACAGCCACAGGGGAGCTGACTGATCACCAGCAAGGCAGCACAGAGCCGAAGGCGGGGGTCAGCATGACCCCACGGGGTCACAGACGCCCTGGGCACACAGCCTCACCCAACACTGAAGCAGCCACACGGGGCAACCAGGTGCGGGGACACTGAGCCCCCGTGGCTGGAGTGGGCTGAGCACAGGCACCTCGGATGTCAACCACGACTCACCTCTGCTGTCAGTGCCGGCAACAGGCCCCTCTGATGGGGAAGAGGGAGGGTGGGGAGGCCCGGCCAGCGTCCAGGAAACAGCTGGAACGTGGACACACGGCTCCCTCGAGAGGTGGATGAGGGCCCAGGACGCCGGCCACCCACACGGCAGGCACAGGCCCCAGAGCCCACCGCCCGCCAGTGCGTTTCCAAAAGGCCTCTGCACCCACTGCGGCAACTGCCAGGACACGCTACAGAGCCTCGTCGGGAGACGAGAGCACCTTGGGTTCTGCCTCAGCAGCTGAGCATGTCGCCGTGGCCAGGAGATGTGGCTCCGGCCGCCCAGGGCCCAGTCAGCTGTCCCAGCCATCCTGGGGGCAGTGGCGGGGGTGCTCCTCCAGAGGAGGGAGGGAGAGGAGGGATCTGCCCAGCAACCAGCCCCCACAGTGTGTGGGCAGTGGGCTCACGGAGCCCAAGTCCCCCTCCTCCTGCTCCCTTTGCCCTGCCAGAGCTTGCGGTGGTGGCACTAGCCCCAGGGATGCCCACTAGCTGTGTGGGCAGGTGCTGCTTTCAAAGGACGACAGTGCTTCTTAGCTGTGAGTTCACGTGTAGCTGTGGACTCTCTGATGGAGCCCAGCAGAGAGGCTGACGGGAACTGAGTCCTTGCTGGGCAGGTAAGCTGAGCTGCACCCAGAGGGTGAGCCAAGTGCTTCCCCAGCCCGGGCTGCTGCGCCTGGCCACAGCCATGCTCCTGCCTGTCCCCTAAGCACCAGTGTTGAGCATGAACCAGGCTCTAGCACCTGGCTGCCGCCACGCGCCTGCCTGTTCCCTAAGCAGCAACACTGAGCACAAACCAGGCCCCAGCACCTGGCTGCAGCCACATGCCTGTCTGTTCCCTAAGCAGCAACACTGACCAGCCCAGGTCGTGGGGCAGCAGGGCTGGCGGGAGGGTCTTACTCTACACAGCGTGACCTTCTCTCCACAGGGCTTGAGCTCTCCCCCAGGACCCTGTCTTCCTAGAAATCAAGAAGCCCTGGAGAGCTTGTTCCAAGCACAGGCTCCTGGGCCCTTACCCAAACCTGCTGGATCAGAGCTTCCAGAAGGGAGGCCCAGCAACGTGTGGGTTTACACACACTCGGGCGATCATTACATGAGGGCAGGAAACTGCGAGTCTGCCCCGAGCAGGACTCCAGACGGTGCCTCTAAAGCCTGCTGCGGACTCAGAGGAAGAAGCCTGATGCTGAGGGTGCCCTGGCCATGTCTGAAGCAGCTGGGGAGAGCCACTGACCCAGCAAAGCCAAAGCTGGGCAGGGACGGAGGCAGAGCCCAGCCTGCCTGACCGCGGGCTGGGGTGGGCAGCAGCCGTGGACACGATGTGGCTGGAGTATAGGCCGGCGGGGGCTGTGGTCGCTCACCTTCACGCCACGGACTCGGAACTCGGCCAGGGCCCTGCTCATCTTGGTGGCAGCCGTGGGGTGGTCTTTGCCGTGGGCAATGACCTTGACCAGCAGAGAGTCATAGTGGGGGGAGATGACAGCACCCTGGAAGGCGGAGGCGTTGTCCAGGCGGATACCCATACCCTCCCCACTCCGGAACACCTGTGGGGAGAGAGGAGTGGACCTCGGATCTGGGTCGGGAGCTGGAGTCAAGGTGTGGCTCCGCCCCAGGCGTGATGGATGTGGGCACCGGGCCCACAGGTTACCCCCACTTTGGTTTGTGGAGTTTTGTTTCATTTCTGCCAGAAAAAGCCAGGGTACAATCCCTCTCTCTAAGCCCCACAGTCACCACCTGCTCCTCCCTGGAGAGGAAGGGGAACAGGGAAGGGACGCTAAAGTGGACAGACAGAGAAGCCCCTGCAGCCCCGGGCCACATGCACGTGCCAGGGAGGGGGATGGCGAGGACCTCTCACCACCTGCCTGACCACCCCGTGCCTTTCGGATTCATTTGTTCATTCACTCATTCCAGACACTTAAGCAGCACCCACTACATGCCAGGCACTGGGGACTGAGCACTTGAAGCAGAGTCCCTGCTCCCACGGGCTCCAGGGTGCTGGGGGACAGACAGACAGACACGGAAAGCCCCAGGTGGCACGTGGTGACAGGTGCACTGAGGGGCAAGGAAGCAAGGAATGGGGCCAAGCAGGCAGGGCCAGGAGGGTCTTCCTTTTGTTCTGTGTTTTGTTTAGAACGCACAGGGTGATGAAGGAGGCCTCACTGTCCACCACTTTCCTTTCCTTCCAGAAGGGGGAGAGGAAAGAAGAGAGGGGGAGGAGGTCAAGAGGAGGAGGCAAGCAGAGAGGACAACTAAGAATTCCATAAAGGAAAAGTGATTAAATGTGTCGCAAGGAGGGAAACAGAAAGCCAGGCGTGCACACCCCCTAAGAATGAGACGCAAACAAAGAGAGAATGAATGGGTGAGCGGCAGCCTGGCGGAGGCGGGGGAGGGCTTCAGAGTCTGCCAGAGAGGACGCCTGTGGGTGGGAGAGGGGCGCGGGGGCCAGGTGGGCAGCTCCAGCACATATATGGGCACGCGAGCACACACACACATACATGTGCGTGCACATGCAGACATGTATGTGCGCACATACTCA